CACGTTGGATGTGTGTTAGTGGGCTGCGGCTAGAGGAGATTCCTCTCCCTGTACTGCTGTAGTCGAGGTGAAGCCGTAAGGGTAGAGGAGTGTTGGTATGACGATTGGCGATGCGCCACTCGACTATCTTTCGCGACTTTGGTGAGGCTGCACCACTTGCTGCTTCCAAGTGCTCGTTTTGTTCCTGGCTCCATTCACATATCGGGCTCGGGGAGTCCGTAGTACAGCTCGTATCTCTATAAATGTTTCTTCGGTTTAAGATCTTTGTAGAATATTTAGAGACGATACCAGGAGACCCGACGGTATGGGTTTAGTTGCTTGAGAGAGAGAGATAAAGCTTTAGTGTGGGATACTACTTGCGAACACTTTGACAGCATTCCATCTCAGGGGTACCTCGTCTAAAGCAGGGGTGGCATTAGAGGCAACTGAACCAAGTAAATAGCCCGGAGTATCTGGAAGATAAGTACATATTTGTGCAAATTGCTGTAGAGACTATTGGTCCGTAGGGTGCACGTGCGGTGTAGTTCCTAAAAAACTGTATCTGCGACTGATCATCGCTGCTGGTAATAAGAAGTTGTTTAGTTTTTTGTTTCCTCGCTTGAAGGCTAAGTATAGCCATTCAGTGAGGACACGTAGCCAGCATTCTTGTGACGATACCACAGAAAGTAGGACTTTATGATAATTTCAGTTAATTTCGAAAATTACGTTGTAAATAACTGATTACTATGTAATTCAAAGTTTATATTTTTTTATATAATCGTACCCGGTGCATTGCTGCCGCAGAAGAAATAATTGTGGAAATATCGTTAAAAATGTGGAACAGTTATTATATTGTTTAATTAGGAATGATAATACAATCATTGAATTAAATGATATATAACTTTCTATAACTTTCAAATAAATAGTCGGTATAATACGCACGCCACCTAGTGTCAGTTAATTGTACCATGCGTATAACCTTCGCACAAGTGCAACCAATAAGTTGACTAAGTTTGACCGCAATCTGATGAACGGTATGGCAGCGTAGAAAGTACGAACAAACATAAATTTTTATATAGTAGAAAATATTTTACTGTCTATAGACAGACCTGTAGTTGATTAGAATAGGCGTTATTATAGCAGCTGATTTGTTTTTATAATACTAGAACTAAATGAACGGTTGACAATAAGTTATTCTAGAAATTATGTTTTTATTTTTATTTTCTGTTGTTCGTTTAATCTTAATAATTTTTTGGTTGAATGGTTAAGGGCTATGATGGCTATCCGAGTACAGAACCAAAGTACAAAACTAATCCAACTGTATAGAGGTGTAAGACGGGGTGACTTTATATCCCCGAAACTCTTCACCGCTGCATTGGAAGAAGTTTTCAAGCTACTGGACTGGAAAGGATACGGTATTAATATCAATGGCGAGTATATCACTCACCTTCGATTTGCCGACGATATAGTCCTTAAGGCAGAATCGCTGGAGGACTTAAGCAATATGCTCAATGACCTCAATAATGCCTCCCAATGGATGGGTCTTAAGATGAACATGGACAAAACAAAGATCAGGTTTAACGTCCATGTCACACCTATGCCCGTAGTTGTTGGGAGCACTAAGCTCGAAGTTGTTGACGAGTCCGTTTACCTGGGACAAATAGTCGGATTAGGTATGTCCAATTTCGACCGAGAGGTTAATCGACGGATTCAACTCGGCTGGGCGGCGTTCGAGAAATTACGACACATCTTCTCGTCAGGCCTATGTTCAGCAGTGGACTTGTGAAGAGTTTTAATGATGATGAATGATAATGGCATTGTATTAATATGATACATAAATAGAATGGACGTTACGGGTAGAGTCCATCGATCCATAGAGTCTATTCTATTTATTTAGGTATAGTTAGGGTATAGAATTTTTATCGATATAATTTGGTACACTGTCTTATCCCTATTATTAGTTCCGTGGACGTGCACTTCTGCTGTCAGCGCCAAAATGGCGGAAATCAAATCGCTTCAGCATGTCATGGTGTATAGCCAGTGCAGCGTACTTGTATATATAGAGGTCAGTGGTGCAATTATATCTCGCATAGAAATAGCATATGTTTTTGCTAATTGTACTATTTGGCATACATAGTGGTCCTGTATAGGTTGTACTTTATCTTATCCATTTTTTCGACGCGGGCACACGGCTTTGACTTAGGAGTAAATAGGAATTCCAATGGTTTATGATCAGTGATTAAATCAAATTCTTTTCCGAAAAGAAATGTGTTAAAATGTTCGATAGTCCAAACAAGAGCAAGAGCTTCCTTTCTGTTTGGCTGTATTTTCGTTCACAATTTGTTAACGTCCGATTTCCATAGCCAATGATTCTGGGAACCCTTTTATTAGTTTGTAGCAAAACAGCTCCTATTCCTACAGGTCTCGCATCCACTATAACTTGGGTCTTGTCTTTGACGTCATAATATCCTAGGTTTCTATTTTTGTTAATTTTTATTTGAGACACCATTATGCAGGGTCTTGTTTTTCTGTCCAGTATTTGTCTAGGTTAGCCTTTTTTTCTAATTACATCCTCATAAGTATTAATAGTAATTCTTTTAATGGTTCATTAATTGTAGCCAGTTTAGGAATCCATTTATTTATGTAATTTACTAATCCAAGAAAACATTGTAACTCCTCAATTGTTTTTGATACTTTAAATTCTGTTATACTTTTGATATATTTAGGTAGAGGTGTTAACCCATCTGGTGTTAATTCGTGTTAGTAAGAAACTTAACTTTTTGCACTCTATACAAACATTTATCTTAACTAAGCAGGACATTATTTTAATTTAACACATCCAATACCTGTGAAAGTCATAAATCATGTTTTTTTCACTGCTGCCCCAAATTAAAATGTCGACGATAAAATTAATTACGCCTTCACGTTTAATTATCATTCTTTATATTAAAACAGCTCTGTTACATATGTGACTCCAAACATAAGTCTTTTATATCTGTAAAGTTCACTAGAAGTTACAAAGGTGGTTAAATATCTAGAGTTGAGATGAAGCTCAACTTGATGGAAATCATTTTTAACATTATTTATATGGAGTTATTAATTTATCGGAATCTGCACTTAAATAACTTTAAACTTTGGAAACGGCTTCGTTAGTTCTTGATCAACATGGTCGATGCCAAAGCCCACTTTTAAAACTCCTAATCGCATTGCTGAATCCTTTCCTAATAAATTCCTGGATCCGTTTTTATGACATAAATTGTGCAGGAATCAGTTTCTCCCATTTGTTTTAATTTCAATTTTAAATGAACCTTTTACCTGTAAGGGTATACTACCGCCACATGCCAATGATATTGTATTTGGTATCTTAGTTTGATTTTTACAACTAACTTTATTTATTTTCAAATATTCCCATGAATTATCAGTTATTAAATTTGTTTTACCACCTGAATCAATTAACATTTGTATCTCAATGCCACCTATGTTTACTTTATGGCTGCGTCTTTAAATGAGGTACTGGAAATCATCTTCCTCTTAGTATCGACTGTAGAATCCTTACGGATTTTTTTTATTTCTATGCCTTCCTCTTGGATCATGTTCTATTCTCCTTTTAAATCTGTATCTTTGTTTTACAGTATCTTTGATGGTGTCACACTTTTCCACACCCGTGACATTATTTTTCTCTGGTTAAACATTTTGGTTCACGGATATTGTTCGATTGCATTTCCGCATCTCTAACACTTAAAATTTCCTGATATTATTTCAGTTTTTCTCCATTCCGAAGTACCCCTGCTCTTACTTGTGACTGAATATATCTCGCTGGCCTTTTTCTTTCCGTTCATAGCTTTCCAGTTTAAGGTTTACTACCCCTAATGTCTTTGCACCCTTATGACCACCTTGTCTAATGTCACTGCATCCCCCATTCTTAAAATCTTTTTCCCGAGCTCTACCGATGCACATCTTTTTATTATTTGATCAATAATATGCTCATCGGGATTATCATATTTACATTTTTTAGTCTGATCTCTCAATTTTAAATGAATTTTTTCAAAATGTTCAGTCTTCTTGTTTAATTAAACGAAAAATATGTCTCTCATAAGTCTTATTTCGTTTATGGAGGAAATAGTTATAGAGCTTTTTTATAGCCAATTCAAAACTATCTACTTCTTCCTGCACTGCACTGGTGTCTGACAAGTTTTAAAATATATCCCGGTTCCGCCTAACAATAGTAATGTTGCTGTCTTTTTTATTGGAGATTGTAAATCGGCTGCTTCGAGATGACGTGCTATCTCCATCTAGCTCTAATTTTTCCCGTGACGGTAACAAATTTGACATTCCTGATCGCTAGAAACCTGAAAACAAATGCAGTTTAAACACCCTATCTTCAGTTAATTAGAAATCTATAAGGTAATGTCACCAGTAATGGATTATACCCCAGTAATGGACACACGCTTATTAAAATGAAAGAAATAAGAATAATTTAACATATTTTCCAAATGGCAACATTGAACTATAAACTAATTATGTCAAGCTGTCAACTGTCATGATTTCGGTTTATTCTGTCATTTCGTTTCAAAATTGTCGCATCTTAAATAGCACTGTGCAGAGTGATTTCCCAATTTGATTATTTCTAACGGAATTCATTAGTGAGGTGAGTAGATATTTTGAGATATTTCTGGAAAATCTTTAGAATAATTCATTATTATATTGAATAGTTAATTTCATAGGAATATTGTAGGTACGAAAATAACCTAAAACTATTTAAAGATGTTTGCATATTTTGTTAAATATGAATGATCATAATTGGATATTGATTTTCAACTAGAACTAGTTATGGACAAAATGTCCATAATTGAGTAACCATGTTTTCATAGCAATTGCCTTCGTTTTACGTTTGTTGTACCATCTTTTGGGTACATTCTATTTATGGTACTATAACATGGATGCAATCCTGTTGTGTTGTGTTTAATGTTTATTAATGGATTTCAAATAAAATTCTAATTTTGTGGTTTTCGTTACTAGCCATGGCCCCCAAAAGAAAATATACGCCAGAACAAATGCGTCGTGCCATAGAGGCGGTGAAGAGAGGAGAAGCAGTGAGTGCATCAGCATCTAAATATGGTATACCTCGTATCACGCTTAGAAATAAGATAACGGGGATAAGCCCTGCGGTTTGTTCAATGGGCCCAGCTACAATTCTAACGGTTCAAGAAGAGCAAATATTAGTACAATGGCTATTTGCACTAGCCGATCGTCATTTTCCTATATCACGAAAACAGTTACTGGACGATGTCCAACAAATAATAATCAATGACAACAGGAAAACACCTTTTACTAACAATCGCCCTGGAAAGATGTGGTACCAAGCATTTCTTAAAAGACATCCTGAGATTTCGGAACGAACTGCACAAAATCTAATAACATCACGTGAAAATGTCACTGAACAACAAATGAAATCTTGGTTTACTGAGATCTAAAATTACCTTCGGGAACAAAACCTTGAGCATTTGCTGAAACAACCTAGCAGGATATTTAATACAGACGAAAGTGAATTCTTTTTATCACTAAAATCTGGTCGTGTCTTAGTAAGACGGGGTGATAAGAATGTGTATACCACATCTGGTAATGAGTAAGAAAACTAGACTGTTTTATTAACTGCAAATGCTGCTGGTCAAATAGCACCTCCTACGATAGTGTTTGCTTATGAGCGTGTGCCTAAACCTATATCTGATAGCGTACCTGATACTTGGGGGATTGGGAGATCAGAATCAGGGTGGATGTGTAGTGAGACTTTTTATGAGTATTTCACAAATATATTCCACCCATGGTTGATCGAGAAAAAAATCGAGTTACCAGTCTTATTCTTTTTGGATGGCCAAGGATCATATTTGACGACACATCTTTCAGACTTCTGTGCAAAAAATGGAATGGAATTAATTGCTTTGTATCCAAATAGTACGCATATATTGCAGCCAATGGATATTGCTGTCTCCCGACCATTAAAAGTATTTTGGAAGAGGCAGATCACTAAATGGAAGACTGACCATCCGGGTCAACAGGTTTCAAAAACTTCTTTTGCAGCTATACTGAAAAGCGCTTTAGATGAAATTACTAAATATTGTATTAGTAATGGTTTTCGAGCTGGCGGCATATGTCCATTTGGACCGGAATATATTGATTTTAGTAAGCTCAATTCAAAAAATCAATCAGCAGAAATAACGGAAACTCAAACTACTTCGTCGCAAAATGTGTAGTTTCTACAGATGTTGGAGGCTGAACCGTGAAACTATTATCTGACCAAAAATTAAATACATTCAAGAAATATTTCTTTCTGCGGAGAACCGATTTAGAAAATGAATTACCTGCTGAGGACATAGGACTCTATATAATACGGGCTAAGTATAAACACTTATGCCATATTGAGCTTCCACCACAGTCCAGATCAGAAGAAATAGATCGACAATTCGCAGAAGCAACAGCCACTCAAACCACGTATTGTGCTAACAATCCTGAATCGGAAGTTCTTTTAAATGAGTTTTCGCCATACTCTGGGGCAGTTGAAGTGCTCCCTGTTGAAATACCGATAGCTGATAATTCTCCTCCCACAATGTGTACTGTTGAATCACAAAATGCCCAACACACTACGATCGACGTTGACTCGGAATTGCCTATAAATAGTGGCGAATTCGTTAGCTTCCACTACAGACCCGATCAGAACAAAAAGATTAACAATTCGCAGAAACAAGAGCTACTCAGACTACTTTTTCTGCTACTAACCCTGAATCTAAAATTCTATTAAATGAGTTGCTGCCATTCTTTGGAGTACTTGAAGAGCCTTCTATGGAAATGCCGATCGATGAAAATTCACCTACCACAATGTTTACTGTTAATTTACAAAGTGCAACACACTCTACGACAGACGTGGACTCGGAATTGCCTATAAATAGTGACCAATTCAATAACACAATACCAGCTACATCTAATGCAGAGTCAGAGAAAGATTATGATATTATTATGGAATCAGAACAGCCCGAGTTGACCAGAAATGTTGACTCGAATAAGGACTCTACACTAGGTCGATATGATAGTGATTTATTAGATGTTGAGCCTCCTTATCCCCATCCTAGACCTATCACTCAGTGTACCGAACCGGAAATGCAACATTGTACACCCACAAAAAATACATTAAGCAATGTATTGGGTGTTGTAGTACCGTCCTCTTTAAAAAAAAGTCTGTTTTGGCCCGTAATTGAGGACAAGAAGAAAAACAAGAAAAAGAAAGAAAAGTTACCATCGGCGATTACAAGCAAGGCGTGGAAAGTGTACCATGAAAAGAAAGAAGTAGAAAGACGTAGACTACAAGATGAAAAAGAAAACAGAGCCAAGGTGAGAGCAGAAAAAAGTTTTAAAAGAAAAAAAAATCTTGGAAGAAAATAAAAAAAGGAATAGGTTACAAAGAAAAATGAAAAAGGTACAGAAATCTTCATCGTCAGACGATACCGACTTAGAAATTGATTACGCTGAAAGTGGTGACAGCGAATGGAATGAAGATAGTGATTCAATTGTAGAGAATACGGAAGATAAAAATAAAATAGTGACTGAAAAACGAAGACTGAAACTTGCTTTTCATAAAAAGCCACAAAAAAAGAGTCAGAGGCCTCTTTCGCACCCTGGATCGGATCTTGAAAATATGCCTTTAAGTTCACTGGCGTCTTCTAGGGGTAAAGTTTCTGTAAAAGATTTAAAAACAGGTTGTTATGTAATAGTTACATATGAAGGTGAATATTTCCCGGGTAAAATTGAAGACAAAGATAGAGGGATGTACGAAATTAGTACAATGGTACTATCAACTGGGAACACTTTCAGATGGCCAGACAGAGCAGATAAAATTTGGTATAAATTGAGTGACATTATTGAAAGAATTAGACCTCCTATAAAACAAAATAATAGAGGATTCTTTAAAGTTGCAGAGATGAATAAATTTTTACCTGATATATACATGACATAGATTTGACATACATACCAAAGACATAAAGATTTAATGATTATTAGGAGGTGCGTCTACTATTCATTGGATACTTATGTCGATTATTATGTGTAATTTAACTAACTTAAGTAAGCTATTTTTATAGGTAATTTTATTGTTTTCGTATTTAAAGTTTTATATCTATGACTACTAAAATTATTGTTGTTGTTTGTTTAAACCACCACTGACTGATTTCGATGGTATGAAGATATATTGTAAGAGCACTTACTAATATTTAATAGTACTAATTTGTGCATTTTATTTCTGCTAGTACCAATTTTGTTCCTCAAAGTTTAAGGGGAAATATAATCTCAAATGGCTTAGCAAGATCCTTCGTTATGCCGAAAATATTGTAGCATTAATTTTGAAATAAATATATGGTAAAGTTGAGGATTAATGTTAAGGATTATGTTAGACGAAAACACGATTTCATAAAATTTTCTAGATAGAAAAAAAAATCCAAAGTTACCTCCAAAATAAACAATAAACCGCTGTTATTCATAAAATACTTTAAATAAGATCATGAAACTTTGCATACTAACTGAACTAACTATAAAGCAGTGCTTATGTTATTTACTTTTTTTTAAATACCACTATTTTCACTGTAAAAAGAAATTACCTAAACTATCGGCCTCTTGAAGCGTGATTCCTGCCGCAAGGTCACTTCGCTTCGGCCTTAGAAGGGGGTTGTGTTGCTTACGATCAGAATATATATTGCGCAATAGGACGACATAAAATTGAAATGGAAAATAACCGTAATAAAAATAAGAAGCGACTGGCTTGGCGTCGTTGTTGTCCTCTGCAGGGCATAAATGCCGTGCAGGTCTCGGGCCTCGGGGTGTACCCCTTTGCCCGGATGTTCCTCACGGCACACTACAATGTGCCGGTCCTGGGCGCCTCGATGTTAGAGGCGTTGCTTATAGCGACTATTGTCGCAGTCGGTAAATTTGTAGTAAAGGATGGTTATCTAAAAAATTGTGTTTAATAACACAATTTGTCAAAGTTGGCCTTTCTGCGGCATTGAGGGGTTTACTCGAACTCCCTAATCTATATAGGGAGGAGTTCTCTTGGATAAGGTCGCCCGTCCGGCGGCCTTGCATGCAACGGCGCGAAGCCGTTGAGGTGTTCGTGTGGCCCGTTGTCGGCGCGGTCAAACATACCGCGCGCCAGCCGGACCACGAAATCATGTAGGCTCTCCATCTTGAGGTTGGCCGCTATGACGTCATTACGGACGTAGCGACCCGCACCGACTATGGTTCGTAATGACAAACTCTGCTGGGCCTGAAGTCGCCGCTTCTGATGATCGCTCAGGAGTGCATACCAGGCCGGAGCAGCGTATGTTAGCAGGGGTCTTATATATGTTTTATAAATAGTTAACTTCGACTTTGTCGGTAACTTGGATGTCAGGACAGGGCGGAGCATTGCCCGCGCACATCGAGCTTTGCGTATAGCAGAGTCGACGTGCGCTGTCATATGCAACATCCTGTCAATCCGACATCCAAGGTAGGTCACGGCCTTCTCATATGCGATCTCCTGGCCTCCGAGGGTTAGTGGTGGTGGTAAATTTCTGTAGCGACGAGTGAGTAGAGCGGTCGTCTTGCTAACATTGACGGCCATCCTCCACTCATCCAGCCATGGTGGCAGCAGGTCCAGCAGACGTTGCATCCTGGCAGCTGCAATATGGGCTCTTCTGGACGACGTGAAGTATGCGCTGTCATCCGCAAAGAGCGCTAGCTCGACGTCGTCCTCCCATTCATGCAAGTGTCCTGCCAGGGTAGGGATGTCATTAGTGTATGCCGCGTACAGGGCTGGAGACAGACAGCTGCCCTGTGGCACACCAGCTGTTATGGTCTTTATTGCGGACACGGCGTCCTCTACGCAGACGTAGAACTTCCTGCCTTCCAGGAAAGACGCCACTAGCCGCAATATAGCAGGAGGGATACTTGTTTTCTGGCTTGGCATTAAGAAACAGGCATAAATATGATAAACCTAATGAAATAAGTGTCTAACGACCTTTCTACATACAGTATTAGTGATTACAAACATGTCGGTACATAGCATACGACGAGCGGGCAAGTGGAGACGAAATTAGAATTTTAGCTGACTTACTATATCCCCTTAATACTTACTAGTCTTATTGAACATTCCAAAGTAAGTAAACATTGCCTAGTTATTTAAAGAAACAGTTTACCTTTATTATTATTTGTTGTCTCTATGTGTTCATTACTAGACGTCCATTACTAGAGATTGCCCATTAATGGGTATCCATAATTAAATTTTGCATGTCTATCACTAGTGATTAGGAAGTGAATTTGCTTTAACTTTTTTTTGAACATATATAACCTGGTAATATTTTTTTTATTAAAAACAATTTCCAAGAAACCATTCTTTTATTTTTTCATACCAGAATATTTAATTTCATTAAAAGTGGTTGGCAGTGTTATATTATTCGCAAACATTTTCTAAAACTGTCCATAATTGGGTTCATTACCTTACCTCAAATAAAATTCAATATCTCCAATTTAATGGAAATCAGTATCTCCAGTTTAATGGCAATCAATGTCTCCAATTTAATGGAAACCAATATCTCCAATTGTAATGGAAATCAATATCTCCAATTTAATGGAAATCCATATCTCCAATTTAATGGAAATCAATATCTCCAATTTAATGGAAATCAATATGAGTGTGGAAATTGCATAAACTTTTTTTTGACTATAATTTAAGTACCCTGGTGTTTTAATTCACAGACTAAAATGTGATATGTAATATTCCGATATTATAGATTAAACGACAAACGATACGAATGAAATAGTATATATATATTGCAAGTTAAATATATAATGATTTATTATATATATTTTCTCTTCTATTTTAATCTTAAAGAAGCGAATATACGTAGCCCAACTTCAAATTATACTTTAGTGAATATACGATTCAAAAGTTGTCAAGCCCAGAAGTAATTCTTAGTAATATTGAATATTTTATTTGTTCACCCTCTTTTCTTTATGTAAAAGAATATTAAAATAGTTCTTGTAAATAACTGTTTTATTTAATTTACTTTAATTTATACTTATTTATAAAATATTTAACATTTATTTTTCACTGTGTATTTAGGTCATTTTAAGTAATAAAGTATGGGTTGGTTTTTAGAAACAACAGTTGAATTTTTAATCTTACCTTTTACCTCGTCGCCAAGAACTTTTATAGTATAATATTCACAACTCTTAACACTGGCTCACTATCACACCAAGTCTTTTGGGGTAAACGTCCTACCTCTGAGCACTCCACAAAGCAACTGAGTGCCGGCGCTCAGTGCAACAACCGAATGGAGTGCTACCCCCACTACTTGTTTGTATGAGACAGTGTATTGAATCTATTTAATAGACACAAACACTACACGCCTAAATAAGTTAATTAACATTTCGCAATGTATTTTGTTACTCTTTATTGACATCCCTTAGTAACAACGGAAAGTCCACGGTAACGTAGTAAGGGGAAAATATGCAAAGTAATACGGACACTCTCACGCAGCGATAACCTTTTATTTAGTTTCCGAGCGTGATTTATCTAATTAATAATAATTACGTAGGCTATTAAACGTCGGCAAGCCGTCAGCATCAAAGGACTGCAACTTCTGTACGTAGTGCTATTATTTAGTCTGTGTCTATACTAAAAATAATTCATTCAGATCATTTGGGATTCGGTCGGTTTTCGACTCCTTTACAATTCACACCAATCACAAGATAAAAAGTTTCTGTCAATTGTTTGTGATTGGTTGTGCCGAAACATTCAAAACAGATAAACGAATCAGCAATACTTTTTAAGTGTACCACTGTAACATCTCAAACGAACGAATCATTCGTGATTGACAAATGTCTACTCTGTGCTACTGCTATAATATATTCTGGGTTTTCTATATTATTTTTATTTATTAACGTTCGTTAATTTCCGAAAATTTTAAAATAATATATCATATACAAAAGAAAATAACTTTAACTGCTAAGAAAAATATTTAATTATTTTTATCAACTTTATTCATTAAATATTTAAAGTTCTAAAAGTTATTTATATTTTCAATGATAGTAAAGTAGAATTTTGAAAGGAAATACTTCGTCTGCAGAGTGCAGACCATAGCTGCTAACCTTGATTTTATCATTATCAATATTAAAGTAACGAAATTTTGCGATTTCACTAGAGTTGTGTGAAATTTGAGTTCGACTGTTTGTTGTATTTTGTCATATCATGGCAGGAAAAACCCTTATGAAATCTGCAAAATCTGCGTGTAAGTATAAAGTTTTACCAAACAAATAATTTTGTATCTCTGCATCCTAAACAATTATAAATTTAAATCCAGCGAAATTTAAGCGTCCTTATTTTGAATGGAAATTGCTTAAAATTATTAAAATTTATTTTCCTCATTTATGTGCATTCATAAAATTTGTTTTCTGATAAATAAAATTATTATGTAGGCTAAAACATATAGTAGTCTCATTTAAAATTAAGTGGACTAAAAGCTTTCATCCATTTTAAATTATTAAATTAAAAAAAAGTAAAATCGAACTTAAATCAACTAACACAGTTGTAGAATAGAATAGAATTTTTTTTTATATAATGTAGATTACATTCTTATTTGAAAGTGATTTTTTACTTGCACCACTGGTTCAAAAAAAACCTCCTGGGAAGACCAAGCAGGAAACCTAGTGGGACGCAAAGTAAATTATACAATAAGAAAGGTTGTGCAAATAATTTATAAAATTTATTTTAGAGATAGCTTGGAACGGACCACCTTATTCTCAGGTGCTATTATCAACCATGTATCATTTATATTATGCTAACCCTTTTTATACAGTTTTTGTTTAATAGAATATTTAAACTTGGTAATAAAAGACCTTGTATATTTTCTGGGACTTTGTTTTAATAGTGTATACATTGTCCCACAAATGAATCATTGACTCTGAGGAGTCGAGAAACTGGTATCACTAGCTCAGTGAAGGGTTCAGACATTTGCCGCCACGCCAGTAGGCTATTCAAATTTTGCTGTCCCTACAGACTTCTACAAGTCGATACCCTAGTTCTCAATCATATGCATTACAATTTTTTTGTTAATGAAATTGTAACTATGATTTGTGCACTATAGTCCTAATTACACCATCTTTTTCTCATAATTAGAATGATTGTAAACTAGGGGATTGATGTGTCAGTTCCTAGATTATTTTTACAACCTAAAGATTTAGTTATAGCACAAGAAATAGTTTCTGGGTATATTTCTAAACAAATAAAAGCTCAATCTTGTACTACTTATAAAACTGGGTGATATATGTTTTAATGCTACTTACAATCGGTAAACGTAATTAATTAATTTTTATTGTACTTACAGTTTAAAAACAATACATTAAACTTTACGTGGTAGAGCCATGCTGCAACTATATTATGTTTGTAGCATAAATGGGTCGGCTCGACCTAGAGAAGGACCACACAATCACAGAATTTCAGCGTAAAATAGCATCTTAATTCGGCTGTGGTAAGTGTAGAAAATTGGAAACCCTTTTACTGGAAATGAGGCATTTCATCTTAGTTTTCAGGTGTAGATGTCTATAGGCCACAGTATCCATTTACATTAGGTCATCCACATTAGGTGGACTGTGTGCTCGCTTGTCATCACTATTCAATAAAAAAATATCTAGTAACAATCCGGCTGATGATGATGAAATTCAATAAATTAAGTTATGAAAGTTTTCCAATACTGTTTTTCGCCAGTTTTTATTCACAAAATCATCAATTATATTGTCATATGAAATCTTATTCATTAACTTACTGTGCAGCTGGGCTTCTTTAGATAGACAGAAGCCCTAAGGCATGTAGCTTTTTTCGACAATATTTTTTACTTGTATTTAGCAAAAAAAGCTCTCACCCAATTTGTCGTTGGTGTATATAAGGTCATACAAACTGCTGTATCAAAGTTTGGATAATTCTGCAAGTTTTGCAAATTCTCTTTTCATAAGAACGAAGATAGACTTCAATGATCCAGAATCAAGTTTTACTAAAACTCTTTCAGAAGAAAGGTGGCATTGAAAATGTGTGCATTCTTAAATTAAATGAGTCTTTAAATCATAAGGATATAATTATTTCTTCCAAGGGTTTTCCATACGAGTTGATAATAACAAATCACTCATTTTGCTCAAAAATAAAAACTTCATTAAATCTGTTGTAAGCCTCGTGCCATTTTTCTAATTCGGATACGAGTCTATAAATGAGGAAGAGAAATATGTTAACTCTGAAAACACTCGTAGTTATTCTCATTACTTCATCGAGTGTTTGGTTTTTTTTCCATGTCTTTTGTATACTTCTTCGACACACTGAATTTCAAAGCCTTTTTATTCGAAATACTTACTTAACATTTTCTAATTCATATATGAAAACTTGCAAACAGATTCGTAAAGATCAAATCAACGGTAGAAACCTGAACTTGAACATTCACTTTGCACATTCTGTGCAAAAAAACATTCCACACAACAAGCATTACCGCCATTTTTGGCTTTTCTTAATTTAAAAGTACGCTCCCACGCTCCACTTCACGATACAGGCTTTTCAGTACAATCATCCTTGATTGATTCCAAATTTTTAAGAATGTTGAACCAAGAATCTCAAAAATGCCCACATGCATCCTCTCTAGTTGACCAAGGTGTCAGATTTATTCTCTTTAGCGTTTTCTCCCTCTCAATTTCAGTCACTATTTTTTGCCAGCATTGTGTCGAACTTAGGTGCATCTATGTTTTTTAAACAAAGATTTCTTGAAGCAACATGAAGAAATGACAAGCTTCTGTGCAACATTCAGCAGCCGCAGTTGCCACTGAATTTAAAGTTGACAGAGCAAGGAATGAAAAAAGTATTTAGAATCCCGAGATAATGGCAGAAAATATTTTTTCACCTTCCTTTTAAAATTTAAATCTCTTTAATTTCTGTAAGATGTAAAAAAATTCTTAGTCTCAAATTTGTAGCCCCAAAAATCTGTCGCCCTAGGCTCCAGCCTACTCAGCCTGCTGGTAAATCCGACACTGCTCTAGCTTTTGATTGTTCCTAGTGTTTACAGAGTGTATATATCACTTACGTATTCAATTCAACTGTATTATTTTTATGTATGTTACTTTAGAACTTTCTTCTAGGTGAACCGATTTTGATTATTATTATTATGATAAATAATACATTAACACTAGCAGCTAAAAACCTGACGTGTGTGTGTCTTAATGTTTGGAGATTTTATCTAATCTGTTCTTGAAGGCGTTCAATGTAGGAGCATTAATTACATTTTGCGGTAGCTTATTGCACTTGGTGACAACACAATTTGAAATAAAATTCTTCATTGGATTCCGCTTGGCAGCCTTATGGCAAAGTTTAAGTTGATGTTCTCTCAGACATTTGTTTCTATTCAGTAAGTATAAATTTTGCAAGAGAGGGAACATCATAATATCCTGTCAGTATTTTGTATGTTTCAATCAGACTACCTCTCTGTCTACAGCACTCTAGTGTTGTGAGGTTAAGCTTTTTCATTTGCTGCTTATATGTCATGTTTTGAGGTTGTTTTACCATTTTTGTGGCCTTCCTTTGAACATTTTCCAATAGTATTATATCTTTACGGCCATACGGGTCCCATATCACATATATGCAAACTTCAAAAGAGGTCTTAAGTATGTGTATACCTGAGTACATATGTGATAAATGTTTTAGGAGTGAGACACATAAAGCTTTTTTCCTATTGAATAAAACTTTTTTCCTATGTTAAGGATATATGAGTTTCCCATTTGAGGTCACTGTTTATTGTGATGCCAAAGTCTTTTGTGATTCTACAGAAGACAATGGGTGATCACATAGATAATATTGTATATTTCGTGAACTATTTTTCGCTATATGTAGAATCGAACACTTGTCTGCGTTCAGTGTTAGGAACCAATCACAGTTCCAATCGCAGATGGCATTTAAATCCTCTTGTATAATAAACTTGATATTGCGTATATGTAGGGTTGCCCAAAATATTTTGTGTCGTCGGCAAATAATGAGAATAGTAGCTGTAACATGCTTCATAGCATCTATGGTCCCGGGGTGACCCCCCATGACCATGGATGCTATAAAGCTCCTGAAACGTCGGGAATAGTTTATACGTTTCCTTGTGATTTGTGTTATTACTTGATTGAGATTACTGTTTGAATACATTGTTACAAAGCTTTCGCATAGCTTGTCATGCCCTGTTAAATTATTGAGAAGCCATATTATATTTGGTAGGTTGAAGTCACCTGCAATAATTACCGTCTGCTTTGAAGCTGAATTTTCTATGGTGTTAAATAATATTTCATCAGTACTTGTTAAAACATTTAATAAGGGAAGAAGATACGCATAAGCTAAAATTAAATTTAAATACTCATAGCGTATATCTAACCACAATGCCTCAATAAAAGAATTATAATTTATTCACTTTTGATGTAACAGGTACATTGTTAATGTCCGTGTGCAACATACATTGCTATCCCTCTCCCCCTTTCTTTCTCTTCTATCCAACCGAAAGAGAGTATATCCGTTTATAAGACTCATCAATTCCAGATTGTAAATGAATTTCTGATATCAATATAAAAGCAGGTTTATGTGTATTAACTTCAAGAAGAAACAAATCAAATTTCGCCATAATGGACGCCAAATTCGTGTATAGTATGCAGAGTTCTGCGATATTATGATGTACTAGTATTTTGTAGTTGTTACTTGTTATAATCTTTGGTATGTTATTGATGTATTTGATCGTAAAATGTTGCTCACCTTTTTCTGTTCTAACCGCTAGTTCTTAACAAAGTTTCCTAAGTTGATCTCTTTGATATGGTGCCATATCAACCTTAACCTTAACAGAGTTTGGCAGCTTACCTTTATTTTTAAAAACACTTATAGCATTTTGTTTATTGGTTTCAGTATTTCATAAAGGTGTACCCAAACGGAAGACAGTGAGAATATCCAGATCGGGAGTTGCCAGTGATGTAATAGTTTTAGAAACCTTGTTTTTATTATGACTTTTTCTGTCATGTGGTGAATTTGCTTTAGATTCAGCTATTCCAAACACAAGATTACGACAAAACTTTTTCTTTTCTGTGGCAGGATGCGGGGTAACGCGTCTCTGCAAACTTGTAGAGATAATATCGTGCAATAGGAGTCTGTTATGATTTCCAATTACCCTGAACCCACACCAAATAGGACAAGCACTAGTAGGATAACGGATGGTGCGCGTCGCGCCCGTAGACGGGCACGACGCGTTACAGCACACACCGTGTACCCACCGTACAGCCGCATACCTGGGTGGTTCTTAACGCCCAGTACATCGACCGACACGGGTTAACCGCACTCCTCCACTCGGACAGCGGTTAGATATCTCAAAAACCACCACACAGGCAACATGATGATTGGTAACAATACCAAATCATAAACCATTATCATCACCCTCAAGACTATTATTGCCCTTCCCTTTTTAATCAGACTTGAGTCACATGATCTTCCTCGTACAACTTCTCTGCGGAATTGTTTACCACCGGCGATGTTTCCGGGATCATACGATTTAGGGACCGTCAAGAAAAGAGCTTACTGTTTTCTAAAAGGCTGGCAACGCATCTACAATTCCCCTGGTGTTGCGGTTCTTCATGGGCGGCCGTAGTCACTTATGATCTTTTGATTGATGTTTTCCTCTTTAAATTCGGCAGTACTTGCTGAGAATTTCATGCTACGCGAGCAACACGAGTTCCATCCGTGCCTGCATCACTGAAATTGAAAATTTCAATTTTAAGTGCTCGGTGATGAATGAAAACACTGTAAGGAAACTTGTACGTAGGAAATATAAAACGTTTCAAGGAGATTTAAAGATTGCTATTTTGTATAATAATTATCAGGTGAGCCGCACGCTCGTTTGCCCCCTCTTCTATTAAAAACTGAATCTGTAAGAGCCGTATAGGCTTCGAGCTTCTAACTAGATTTAGAACTTCCAACAAAATCAGGCACTAACATCACAGAAAATAGATGATAGATTATGTTATCTCCTCGAGCGAGAGCGGTTATTATAAATACGATTTTTGTTACTTAGGCCTTATTAGGCGACAGGCCTGACTGTCGCAGGTACCTTTGATAAATGGAAAAATAAGTAAAAGTGTAAAAGTAGTTTTTCAGACTTCTTTCATATAATCTACTCAATATAATCACTATGGTATATGCCTTAATATTGTATAATTGATATTGGTTGTCTAATGATCAACTGCTGATTGTGGTTAGGCTGTCCAATTTATTTATACAGAGACGTATGTGTAGCTGATGGCTTTTATTTTAAACTAGGTTTTATTAACACCAAATAACAAAAAATATTATGATTTCAGTTTAATTTCTCACAAATACATATTATAGCCATAGTTGACACATTTGGCAGGTGGCCTGGCAATAGCATTTTTTTTTCTAGTTGTTATTATAGTTCGTGCCAAATCGATTGAGAAAAACGGACATTGACCTTTCGATCGTTTAGCCAAAGGCTACAAACCTTCAATATATAGGCACTTTTTATATGTAGTACTTTCTTTATTTATAATGATTTTTTTAATTATTTTTTTATAATGATCGGTATAATGTATATTTATTAACTATTATTAAAAAGTTATGTAAAAGATCTCTGTAGAAGAAAAATCATCTATTGTTATAAAGTACTTTATTCATTTAACAACAAAAAGCATTAATTTATAACACATATAAAGATTCGAGTGATAACGACACCGAATAAGTACGTACTTATTCAAAAGATAAAACGTTATTTTCAATATTATATAAGAACTTTATTTTTATTCGGTGCATGCGACCCGGCCCAAAAAAAGTGACGCATCTCTGTCTGCCATCGTCACCTTTCTTTTAGAACGAACTGACGTAACGCGCGTTTTGTTTATTTTAAAGGGATGAATTTGCAAAAGCTCAATATGGTGATATATTGATTAAATTTGCAAAAGCTCAATATGGTGGTATATTGCTTCAATTTTTTTTTATATGAAACGGTTATTAAATGAAATGCTGCGTTACTTACCATAAATTGAAATATACAATATAACACATTTTTCGCGATGTACCGTAAGATTTTACGATGTTTATAGGAACCACAGACAATATTATTTAAGAAACAAAAAAAAAACATGTGCTGACCTAGAAGTGTGAATAATACCAATATTTAAATATGTTATCACATCTAAATTTAGATTTTGTAAGTTACGCCTTTTGACACTCGGCTCATATCAGAGGTCATCGTCCGTTTTTCTCAATCGATTTGGCACGAACTATAGTGAGATGCTGTTGGCCTTCCCCTAGTTTGTTTATTACACAAAGGATAATATGGGATAGTGGATATTCTTCCATTGTCTCTACAGGGTGCCATGTAGGCATGTTAATTGTAATAATTTCGTTCATATTTAGACATGGAACCAAAAGCAAATATTGAGCATGGAAATGACATTTACCTTAGTCTATATTTATATCATATCTTAGTCTGAAATAATGTTGATATAAATAGTTTGTTAAGAAAATGAAGCACCAAAAAACAAATAAAAATAAAACGCAAATCTAAGGTACTATAATATGCCAGTGTGATATAAGTAATAAAACTTATAAGTCAATAAACATAATGAAGATTGGATTGATCAGTTGCTATTATGTATAATATATCTATTTGATGAATATTAACCATATTGTTTCCATAGTGTCCAGGTTACAATGTGCAAAGTCAACAGTAACTCAAATGCGCTCGTTCACGAGTCGGCTGAACGAACAGCAGCAGGCTATCCAGGAGCTGGCTAGGAATTTTGCCAATGAACAACTCAAGCCCAACGCCTCCAAACTTGATTTGGAGGGACGATTTCCATTTGACCATGTAAGTAGTAGTAAAATACCTTAATGTTGTTTGTAATCCTAGTTTTACGTAATAAAGCTATGCTACAACTAAAGCTAAAAGCTGAAATAAAGATATTAATTAATTTGCAACCATCCGCTAATTAAATACAATGATGTGTCTTACCTGGATTGAAGAGCACCTCCCGCCCTCCCTCAATTGCGTTCACCAATCCCGTCACCACTAATCCCAGCACTACTACTCCCAACACCACTACTCCCGGCACCACTACTACAGCTAAGTCAGCAGTCAGCCGCCGTAGTGTCTACATTACCTGAGGACGCCTCATGTAGAGGCGAAACACGTGTCGTATTATCGTCGATAGTGTGTCTTTCCTGGAATAGTGGTGTTGGGAGTAGTGGTGCCGGGAGTAGTGGTGTTTGGAGTAGTGGTGCTGGGATTGGTGCACGCAATTGAGGGAGGGCGGGAGGTGCTCTTCAATCCAGGTAAGACACATCATAGTACTTATTTAAGTAAGCGGATGGTTGCAAATTAATTAATATCTTTATTATAATGGATTTCCGCAAAGTAACGCCTGATTCTATCAATTATAAAAACTGAAAGTCAGTCATAGATCATTTCCTTTTAATCCACAGGGCTATTTCATAGGCACAACTTGATTAATTGTCCAGAAATTATGTAGATGTTGTAGAAACAAATTGTCAATCACAATCTAACCAGTTCCTCTTCATTACACTTCAAGAAAAAGTTTGTGCTTCTTTCTGAGAGTGACAGGCCTTAAATCGAAACGGACCTCTCTTCCCCTCCATCGTTGATTGAAGCCCTTTTTGTTAGTATAATTTGGAGAGATGTGGTACCTTAGTGCCTTGTATCTAGGTGTCACAGGAGTTGCAGTAATTGCTACGCTTCATGCACGCTTATTTGAATTTTAGTATCGGACACTTTTCACCAGTGACCTGTACTTATAATCCATTAAATGTTATAGTTGTTTCATACTATAAGGCTAACAAACGAGGACACAGTTCATCTGGTGGTAAGTGGATGCTGTGGCCTATAACATTTACATTAGTCCTTGATTAAGATACAAAATACAGTAGTATTAAGCTGCTGTTTTACGCTGATATTCTGTGAGAGCATGGCCCTGTCCCAGTAGTGCCGACCCATTCGTGCTACAATCATAATATAGCTGTAGTTATGGCTCTACCATGTATAAAATGATTCAACAATAATTTTGTATTAATGGATGATCATTACAATCATCAATATGATCATAATAGATCGGCATAGATAGAGTTTATCACATTGCTATAATTCCACTGTCAGTCACTATGTTTGAAATAAATGTGTAGCTCATGAAGCTAGAAGCTGCCATCGCATAGAGCGAAAAGTACGAAAGTTTTAAAATTTTGTAAGTTTATTTTCATTTGCATCAGAAATATAAGGTCTTGATAACTTAATATTTAATATTTTTTCTTATCTTCAAGCTTGTACACCCACCATATACCAACAATTGATAGTGTAATCGCATAACTCAACTAAAATGATCAAATAAAAATGATGGATTACAAAATGTTGTTCACTATTTTCTAGAAATGTTAATTTATCTATAGAATTATATCAAAATTAAAGTAATTGTTTTCTACATATTTAAACTTAAAATATATGCCATGATGTAGTTAGAAAATCATTCCTTGTTATATATATAGTAAGATGCCAGAAAAGTCTAGACTACCTTTAATCGAATTTAAATTAATTTTCTGATTCATAATATAATTGATACACCTTAAATTGCCCAATTAGCAGAAGGATTTTCAGTGTGTTCTAACTTCCAACTTGTGTTATAAAACAGGTGCATTTTAATTCTTTTCATCTTCTTTTTTTCATTTAGTCAACTTCCTTACGTATTAATTTGAGTGTACTGATCTTATCATTGCTTCTAAATTGTTTTAGCTACTGAGATGTGTCTTACTCAACTTTCGATATTAAGGGGAAATATAACCTCAAATGGCTTAGCAAGATCCTCCGTTATGCCGAAAGTATTGCAGCATTAATTTTGAAATAAATATATGGTAAAGTTGAGGATTAATGTTAAGGTTTATGTTAGACGAAAACACGATTCCGTAAAATTTTCTCGATAGAAAAAAAAATCCAAAGTTACCTCCAAACTGAACAATAAACCGCTGTTATTCATAAAATACTTTAAATAAGATCATAAAACTTTGCATACTAACTGAACTAACCATAAAGCAGTGCTTATGTTATTAATTTTTTTTAAATATCATTATTTTCACTGTAAAAAGAAATTACCTAAACTATCGGCGCGTAAGCTTGGTTCCTGTCGCTCCGTTAGTATTGCTCCGGCTTTTGAAGGGAGAAGTTGTGTCGCTTACGATCAGAAAGCACATTACGCAACAGGAAGACGTAAAATTAAAATGGGAAATAACCGTTATAAAAATAAGAAGCGACTGGGTTGGCGTTAAGAAACAGGCATATATATGATAAACATAATGAAATAAGTATCTAACGACCTATCTACTTAGAGTATTAGTGATTACAAACATGTCGGTACATAGCATACGACGCGCGGGGAAGTGGGGGCGAAATTAGAATTTGAGCTGACTTACTCTCACCTCTTAAACACTGTTCTGGTTTATCCTTATCATAAATTCATATTATTAATTACACTATTGTAATAGTGTAATACTAGATTAGTTCATATTGCGGAGTGCAGTTATCAATGTTTTTTTTTTTTGATATATAAATATTTCATATCTATCAGTTTATAAAATACTGTTAACATATATGAAAACACCGGTGTTATAATAAAGACATCTTATAATATCAAAATTAATAAAAAGGAATATGTATGTTTCTGGAGGCTTATTACTTAAAGCTTCTGTTATATAATCAAGATTAATGGTCTAAATAATTAAGTAGGATTTTATACTTTTTTACATTCCTTTTTATCGCACACCTTTGCCCATATTTTATTTCTTTTATACATCAGTAGTTGTAAGTATTAGAGAATTATTATAACTTCTTTGGAAGCACGCGGAGTCGAGAAGGGACACCCTAGACGAAAGTTTATCTACCGAATTAGCGATATATTGACGATGGGAATAATTAAGAGTACTCTTAACCGACGAACATGTATGCGAATTTGTGTGGATGGTTTAAAAATTCAATGGGACCCGGTAGGTGACACTGTTATCGAGATCCAGAATTCACTCGTGCAAAGCCGGGGCTGATCGCTAGTAACAGATAAATTTGCGTAGGTTTCTCAAGTATGGAATCATTTTATGGAAATCAAAGTTTTGGACAACACGTCATAATGCATCTTATGGACATACCTCTCTTGCCTCCTATACATCCCTAGGGATGTGAAGGAGGCGGTAGAGGTATGTGAAGATCGTGTCAAATGGAAGTCCTTAGTCTCTGCCCGCCCCCTCTGGATAACAGGCGCGAATGCTTATGTATGTATATGGAAGTACTCCCTTTTAGTGTAAATGTGCCTATTGTTGACTAGATTTTATTTATTTATCCTTTATTGTAAACACCTTCAACTAGAGGTTGGCAGACTTATATTTGCGTATAGCATTCTCTACTAGTCAACCCTGGGAAAGATGTAATAAATAAATATGTTGGTACTTGCAAATTAAGGTTAAAAAGACTTGAAAGTGAAAAAACTATTATTTCCTATTCTACTTAAATACATAATATAAATATGACACATAAATATTTTTATACATAAAATCACATACACTCATACTCTCTTTTATATTATACTTTTCATTCATACCGTATTTGGTGTTAAATAAATTAATAGCGTGTCGTAAGTCTATGAGAAACTCCTCATTCATGCCTTCCTACAGATGGCGATATTACCACCTCTTTTACGTCAGACGTAAAATATCTAGACCGGTGAGCGACACAGAGCAGTGTTAAAAGTGCAAGACGTTTATTACCGCGATCGCCATTTCGCCTGCCTGCATACTATGTCTAGCAAAAAATTAGATAATATAAGCTCAACGTTGGATTATTGTGACGAGCGATTGTTGCATAGCTGTCCAACCAAAAACAGGTCTTAAAGTGATTCTCGAGTCAAGTTCGTCTCGGACAATTAATATTTTTGCAAGCAATAACAACTAAAAACACTTGGAACATGGTAAATCAGTATTTTTAGGTTTTTCCGTAGATTGCATCATATTTGCCATAGTTGCCATGCTTGGCAGACCTGGCTGGCAACCGTAGTTCTTTTTATCTTGTAATTGTTTTTAGAAAGGCGATGCTGCCCATTTCCTTCATCTGTTTCCCTCTGTTACCTCTTCTCTGGGTGTCTCAACCAAACAATAGGGGGAAGATATTTATTAGAAGTTTTAAGGCGAGCGTTTATCCTCTAAGCTACCACGACTCGGATGTTTGCGTATTGTATATAGTGTATAAGTTCGGCATCTAATGGTATACTGTTTTCATCTCAGAGCCGGAGCATTTCCGTGCCTTCTTTCACTTAACCGGATCCAGCGAAAAGAACTCGAAATCATGGACAACCGAGTTCCTTCTGATCGATTCGATTCACTGACGTTGCGAATAGATGTATTACCTCTTTTTATCACATTTGTAGGTGCCAAGTTCCACCATCGCACATCGCGAAACATTCCCACCATCTGGATGCTTTGAGGTCCACCATTGTGCGATTTTCCAGAATTTTCCTTCTTTGTACATACGACTACCTTGTGTGGAAACAATACCTACTGCCTTTTAAAAGGCCGCCAACGCACCAGCATTTCTCTGATGCTGCATTTGTTCATGGATGGCGGTAATCGCATACTCATAAAATATCATTTATCGCGGTAATCATTCGTGTAGTTCAAAGTCATTTTAACATCGAGCGCCCTATCTTAAGTGGACTATAGATAAAACTCACATTTTTATTGTATGTAAGCGATAAGAGCTATTTAAACAATATCAGATAAAATAAGACAGGCTTTTCCATTGTCGTTTCTTACTTGAGTTAAATTATAATCTTTTCGGTGTCAAGTATGAAAAATATCACTGACAAATTCCTCATACTATATGGCGGCGCGGCGGTCAAATTCTTTATCATTCTGTGAATTACTCGTGGTAGTCATGTTGCAGTTATATTATGGTTGTGGCACGAATGGGTCGTCTTTTTTATATAGAAGAGGGGGCAAACGAGCATGCGGCTACCTGATGTTAAGTGACTACCGCCGCCCATGATCAACCGCAACACCAGGGGAATTGCAGGTGCGTTGCCGGCCCTTTAGAAACGAATAAGCTCTTTTCTTGAAGGTCTCCAGGTCGTTACGGTCCGGAAAAATTGCCGGTGGTAAACTATTCCACAGAGAGGTCGTACGCGGAAGAAAACTCCTTGTGAAACGTACAGTGGAGGACCGCCAAGCATCCAGATGGTGTGGATGGTATCGGGACGTTTGTCTCGGCCGGGAAAAGACTACACTCTCACAGCATGCCAGTTTTATGCTGCCGTGTTTCGTAGGCCGAAACGAGGCATTCTATTTTCGTCCACAGGGTTGACAACGCATCTGAATTTTAATTCTTAATCGGGGATAGATGTATATGTTGTCTATGGGCAACACCATCCTCTTACCATCAGGTGGACTGTGTGCTGTTTTTGTTTACTTTAAACGGTGTGAAGGTCAGTATAATTAGAGGCTGTGTGGCTTTTCAACTTGGTCCTCTGAGGTTGCAACATTTGTAGCTGCGTTTGTTTGTTTTTCGTATTTGTCCACCATAGAATACTATACACTATAGAATGGCAGTCAACCTTATTTTGCACGACCATAGGCGTCGCCGAGAGCACACATACAAGCAATTAGTCGTATTATCAGTTAATTATTTTGAAAAATTTGGAAACGATTGTGACGTTAAAACACATCTCGTGTTGACGTTTATACGTGTGAATTGACGTGTAAGTGGCATTTTAGTGGCTACACGGGCTCCGCCCACTCCCACGTTCTATTATGTATGTATTATACAGTATTCTATGTTGTCCACTATCGGTGACAATTATGTCAAGCCAGCGAGTCATTATATAATCATTATCAAATGGCCTGTGAACAAATATGAAGATATTAAATACCTATTTATATGATGAAGTTGTAACTGTGTAAATGCCGTGTAAGAATGTCCCGTGGACGTCGTAACAAGCGACAGAGGAAAACTAAAGCGTGAGATGAGTAGGCAGCAGCATCTTGCAGATAAAAAAATCTAAATAGTAAGAAAACAGCGGCTGTCAACCCGCCTGTTAAGTAAACTGGAAAAATCACCACTATGAGGCAATCTATGGGGGAGGCCTATATTCAACAATTGACTGTCTATAGACATGGCTGTAGTAGATGGATAAATGAAAAGATATCATCCATCGATCCATGATACAGTTCCGACGCTAGACTCGTTTTAAATTACGCCTTTTTTCACTCACACTGGCCGACCTAAGTACCTAATGAAAGATTTTGTTAAGTACGTAATTTATTGTTGTGTAAATTTCTGAGTCTAGCGGCTAGACACACATTTGTTAATTGCCAGAATAATCTAGGGGGCAATCGGGTTGACAGCACACATAAAATATGTCAATTGTTTGGTGGTGTCAACTTAACAATCCAAGAATGTTCGGCCCGCTGTGACACCTCACATTGTCCTGTGTGGCCCTTGACCGGATACGTGTGACGACCACTGGTCTAGTCCGTAAGCATTCCCACTTAATTTGGTTTGTAGAAAACTGAGTATGACAATATAATATTATATACTAGCGATCCGCCCCGGCTACGCACGGTTGATTTCTGGACCTCAACAAAAGCCTATTACCGGGTCCAAATGTGAATCTAAACCATCTCGGGACTCGTTCAAACACACACAAAAATTTCATCAAAATCGGGCAAGCCGTTTTTGAGTTTCTATAAGACGGGCAGCAATTGGTTATTGATTGAGATAATATTAGAGTATTTATAAACAAGCTATATTTACCCTAAGTATATAAAAGATTCGACTACGGCGGGCGCATCGGTCCTGATTGTATATTATGTAAAATATAGGAATATTTTTCAACATACGCCCAAATTTGCAGCGAAGGCTCAGAATAATTAATATAGGCGAATGGTGAAGAAATATTAATTTTAAAAATCTCAAACATTCAGTCCTTTTTACCGACTTTATCTTTTTTTAACTCAGAACGCGTGGTTATGCATTATTTTAACTGATTGTCATTCACTAAAGAGCAGCACGCGTACACGTACGAGTAGTTGTTGCCCATAAATCACATTAAATTTGAAGTAATTTCAAATAAAAGTAGAAGCCTTATTTACTCGCATTTTTAAAGCTGCAATAATTTAAATATAAAATTTGGATACTCTTTAAAAATATCCTGCCGACATATAATAATGATTTGTTTTAGATTTACTTTTTTTAAATCTGAAATCAAAATAAATAATAATTAAAAAAAATTATAAATAAGTAAATAAGAACCTATGAACACTCGTTGATAAAGTAAACCTTGTACTTAAATACAGAATTCATTGAAGGTAATTTTGAAAAGTATGTCAATAACTGTAGAACTGTTTCGGAATAAAAAACAAGTTGACATTGCAAACTGCAAGCATTGCTTGCCTTGTGACAGAATCCATTATATCATCACCCATGGGTATCTCAGAAGCCGATTATGGAAAGTGTTAGGTATTGTTGCTTACGGTAAATGGTAGAATAGCCATCTCGTATATTATATGCCAGAAACAGAAACAGAATTTTTTTTATTCAATGTAATCTACATTACTTATTGAAAATCACTTTTTTCATTTACCACTGGTTCGCAAATAAACCTCTGTCCTGGGAAGAACCAGCAAGAACCCCAGCGGGACCAATTTTTTTTTCCAATAATAGCTTACAATAATGTTTACAATAAACAACACAAGACAAATTAGAAATAGCTTGGTAGCGATCACCCTTCCCAGGGGTTATTATCATCCATAAATTCCTTAATATTATAATAACCCTTTTTATACAAACTTAGTTTAATAAAATTTTTGAACTTTGCGTATGACAAATTTTGTATATTTTCTGGGATTTTGTTGTAAAAGCATATACATCGCCCCAAGAATGAATTACTGACTCGGTGGAGTCGAGTAACTGGTACTACTAGCTTGTGTCTGTTCCTAGTATTTACAGAATGAATATCACTTCTTTTCGCAAAACTACTTTTATTTTTGTGTACGTACATTACATTTTCATAAATGTATTGAGAAGCCAGAGTTAATATATTAATTTCCTTAAATTTTTGTCTCAGTGACTTTTTGTTTTTAAATTATATATTGCTCTAATTGCCCTCTTCTGTAAAATAATAATATAAATGCCAAAATAGTAAAGTTGTAGTTACGTCCCACTGCTAGGCACAGGTGTCTCATTGTCTCTCATTTCCTGCAAGGTTTTTGGGTTCCATCGTGCTGCTCAAAGTTAGTTGGCAGACTTCATGTGTTCTTTTTTTTTAATTTTTCAGGTACGTACGACTTTTTCTTCATCGTCGAGAACGTGGTAAATGAGCACTTAAAATTGCAATTAACAATTTACTTGTAGCTGGCATTCTAACCCGGGTTGTGCTAGCATACTCTCTAATTTACGGCTATCGCTTAATTGATGTTGTTTAATATAAAACTTAAATTAAGAACGATTATTTCTTTTTTTTTATTGACTTTGACAATACAATTGCAGGCACAACGCCTCTTTCCACATTTAATTATAATACTGGATGACCTTTTTTACCGTCGGGAAAAAATAGGCTGTAACATGTGAACGGAGTAAAAGCCCATGGCACTGATATTTAACAAAAATTTAAATTTTGAATTAAAATTTTGAAAATTTTTTTAACGATTATTTTGCCCTTAGCCCTTGAGCCTGTTACCCTGCGAAGTGACAAGGTCAAAGATGCCTAATAAGTTTATTGTTTTATTGGCGTTCGTAAAAAAATGTGGATATGATTTGAATTTCGATAGATTTGAATTAAATTAATTAAAAAATTTCGTTTTTATTTTTTCTAAAATATCAGTGCCATAAGCTTCTATTCCGTTCACATGTTACACGTTATTTTTTTCCAGACAGTAAAAAAGATCTCCAGTATATTATAATTCAATTTCATTATAAAAGATACATCATATTATTGCAATTCGAAATAGTCAACAGGTGTCTTAAATTATATTGCGAAAACTAATAAACTGATGAATTAGAAAAACGATAGAACTAGATTCACTAAAATGTGCAGAATGAATCATTATACACGTTTGTTGACGACAACTACGAGTATGATATCGTATTTTTAATAAGTGTTTTGGTTTTCCCGGTCGGAGGAGGCTTGCATGTTGATCAGCCTTCTGAGCATGGGTTTTCCATCGTATCGAATCCGTATCGCCATCGAGTGACTTTGTAGGTATTGAGGTAATATTTTGAAAACCTTGTAGATATTGTGTAGAATAATTAAAAAAAAAATAAAGAAAATACAGTCGTATTGATAATCTTCTTTATTGAACTGCTCTAATTTCAAGTGCCAAGTTATTACCTAAACGCGAAGAATTCTCATCTAGTCAATGATCGTAATTTTATTTTCAACGTGAACGTGTTCATTAAAAATGATCGCGATGACATTTAGAAAATACGTTGTTTCAGATCAAAAACCTCACTCATCTGGGTTTAATGGGTGCTGCGGTCGATGAGGAGTATGGAGGGCGAGGGTTGGACTACCTCTCACTCGCTGTTGCAGTCGAAGAACTGTCGCGTGGATGTGCTAGCACTGGCATGATCATGTGTTTACACAACTTCCTCTATGCCAACCTTGTTAATGAGAAAGGAACTCCGGAACAGAAGGAAATATTCTTGCGGGATTTCACTAAGGGTGCCATCGGGTGTTTCGCTCTCAGTGAACCAGGTACGCTATTTCAAAAATGTACCTATATAGTTATCAAACATATTATTACAATCATGATATTGAAATATTTGTTAACAAACAGTGCACTGTTCGATTTCCAGACAAAATAGTAGACATTACCAATGAACCAAATGTGGCTCATGGGACAAGAAATCGGTTAAGGGTATTGTTTAACGATGATGGTTTCTTTTCAAATATTAGAATGTAATATTGTTCTAATAAGAGTTTTAAAAATGATAACGTTTTGTTGTACCGTAATTGGCCGTATTACGCATTACACATTATTGCGTATGACTGCTGTGCGTATCGTTCGCACGTACTGATTGGCTCTCCAGTCGCATTGCGTCCCCCGTTCTGATACGAAATTCGCAACTATCCCCTCCACGTTTCGTTCAGCGCTAGAGTTACGTGCCGCGAGTTGTACATGGGTCTTTAGTATTTTTTCGTTTTAATAATAAAAATTAATTATAAAAATTAAATTCGTTTCATAAATAAGTAATAGTATTTCAGTGTGCTCAACAAGACTTACTCTCGTGAACCATTCCTGGTTAACAGGAATACATCTCATTACTACTTTAGTTTCTTTTAATAGACACAAATAGGTAGGTAGCAATAGCATGATAACATTTATAATATAATCATTGCAGCCCATCATATAAGTCCACTGTTGAACAACGGGTCTGCCCATTTGACTGGCACAATGAACGGTCTTGAAGCACCTGCATTGACACCTTGCACGTCTTATCGTCACCACATAAAGTGGAGAGCCGTCTTACACTCCACTTACCGGCACGAGGCTGTCAGTCAAGAGCCTTGTGATTGTCGTTCGATATGATTCGAGTTCGAAATCAACTGTCGTATCTTCTCAAAACATGATTAATTTATTAAGAAAGAAAAAGAAAGAATATTATACGAAATCTCTAACGCAGATTAAGTCCGTGTGTCAAATTTAAAATTATTCATTTCAGACGCTGGTAGTGATGTTGCCAGTATAAAAACAACGGCTACACCTGACGGCGACTACTGGATACTAAACGGCAAAAAGAGTTGGCTGAGTTCTGCGATCGAAGGTTCTGCCGTGGCTGTCTTCGCTACCTTCGACCCTTCTCTTCGACACAAAGGATTGGCATGTAAATATGGCGTTCAAAATATTTGCGTATCTGTGGTATTTTATTGTCTATTATTATGTTACATGTCATACGTTTTCAAAGTAGATGTAAAGAAAAATATAGCCTATAACATTTTAGATACCAGTAGAGCCATGCTGCAGTTATATTAGTAGTATAGTTGTGGCACAAGTGGGTCGGACAACCGGGGAAGGACCACGCTCCCACAGAATACCAGCGTAAAATAGCAGCTTAATGCTGCTGTGTTTCGTATGGTGAGTGTAGAGAACCTGAGACAATTTACTGGAAACGATGCATTCCATATTAGTCCTCACGGGTGACAACGCATCTGCATTTTGATTCGTAATCGAGGATAGTCTTTTAATAGACACAAGTTAGATGTCTATGGCCCACCGCACAACCACTTACCATCAGGTGGACTGTGTGCTCATTTGTGTCACCCTATCCTATAAAAAAGACTATGCGATTCAATTAATAAGAGGACCGACCTGGCGCCATATTGTGACAATTATGGCAATTCAAACCAGTTATTTAACTGGAGAGCAAAACAAATATTTTGGAAATAATATTTATTTACAAATAAATACAAAAGAACCATGAAAGAAAAAGTTTTATTCGGAATCTAGCACTTCAATTCCGCTCATCTTTGCACTGTTGAGTATTCATCATCGTCATTACCATCATCATCATCATCTCCTTTAGGCGAAATGTTGCCAACTATGAAAAGGAAAAAAACATTAACTTTTACATTTAACATAAAAAACTTAACTTTAACATTAACAACACTATTTTTAAAACTAATTATGAATAGATTTGGTAATAGTAAGACATAAATATAAAAGTGAAAAATCAATTTTCTTTGCAAGCCGTACTTTTCAAATGACAGTTGAAGGTTCGCGAGCGTTTGAGGTCATTGACGTTCCTATTCTTATTTGAATCGCATTTATATGTGTTATTTTCAAAAATATAGTGGTTTTAATCTATGGATACATTTGTTTATGTTTTATAGGTTTCCTGGTCCCCATGGATGCAGAAGGAGTATTCAGAGGGAAAAAAGAGCCGCTTATGGGCGTTAGGTATGTATTACATGTACATGTACAGTAAATTTCCCTTTTTTTTTCAAATATTTTAGAAATAAAAAATATAAGATATGTTTTAATTTAAAAATATTTTCAACAACTCCACTTATGTATTCAAATAAATTGAATTGGTATGTTTCCATATATAATAGTTTAATAGTCTTCTATTATTAATTTACGAAAAATTTGATATTAATTATGTCTTCTTTACGTCTTACATCTTCTAATTAGATAACTACTAAATAACTAATAAGATTTTAAAAATATTATCATAATTAGATGTGTATAATATACTTTCTTATAGTAAGCATAAAAATTATGCAATAATAAATATTAATCGAATTATGAAATCTCAATTATATAACAATTAACTAATTTCATATAAAGTATTTATCAATTATAGCTATAGAAAGTCATTCCGCCTAAGAAAACATACCTTGTGTCTTTCATTTATTTTTGCCTTCACCAATGAATCCCTTCAAATAACTTAATAAAGGGAGCTTATAAAGCAGAAATTAAGCGCTTGTCACAGGGCTGTGACCGCATGCGATATGACGCTCGAGGAAGTAAGAATACCGCGGAGTTACATGGTGGGGAAGGCTGGAGAGGGATTCAAGATAGCTATGGAGCAGTTGGATCAGGCGAGGATTGGCGTTGCTGCTCATGCCGTGGGTAAGTAATTTGTATTCCACTGGTGCAAGCTTGGGGAGGGCTGTGAAGAAATTTCTACTACATTTCTGCATAATTTCAGGCATTGCACAAGCCGCTTTGGATACAGCTATGAGCTATGCTAAAGAAAGAGAGGCTTTCGGCAAAAATTTAACAAGGCTGCCTTCTGTAAAGGTAAGTTTCATAATGACCATAAATTTTAATTTTAATATAATAAGTGCGACAAAAGAGCAAAAAGTCCAACTGATAGTGAGTGCTCCTTAGACATACTCAATTAATAATCAAATAATGCAAATGTATACGTGGTAGAGCCACACTGCATCTATATTATGGTTGTAGCACGAATGGGTCGGCTCGACCGGGGTAGGACCACGCTCTCACACATTTATTTATTTATTTATTATATGGACAACAAAACAGATAACAATGAAAATACATTAAAAATTACACATAAACATATAAAAGTTTCGTGCCAGATTGTTTTCCTAAGTATGTTGACACATCATTTTCATATTTTACTACAGAGGAGATCTAATCTACGCTTAACAATATTAATATTAATGCCGTACATTACTACATAATACAAAAAAAAAAACAAATTTTACATACAACAAGTTTAAAATCTATGTGATGTGGGACATAACACGAAAAACAAATTTTACGTACATCAAATTTAAAATCTATGTGATATGGGAATGAGCGTGTATGACTGTAAGCTCTTTTTACTGCTCTTTTGAATATTCTTGATCTTGGGTCAAAAATATCCAAGCGGGAGTCTTTCGTGGATATCTCGTTGTAAAGTCGACACATTCTTATTATCGGGTTGTAAAAAGACGTATTATTCTTGTAAGTCTGCAGGTGAAATGTCTTGTTAGGAATTCGTGGATTGCATTATACTAGCATATAATAGCACCTTAAAACTGCTGTGTTTCGTACGGTGAGTGTAGAGATCCGGAGACCTTTTTTACTGACCTTTTTTACTTTTTTGCCCATTCCAGTAAAAAAGTCCATTTCCATTTTAGTCCTCAGGGGTGACAACGCATCGGCGTTTTGGTTCTTAAACGAGGATTAATGTAGATGTCTATGGGCCACAGCATCCACTTACCGTCGGGTAAACTGTGTGCTCGTTTGTCATCCTTATTCTTTAAAAAGATGGCGTTGTCATCCCTAAGGACTAAGATGGAATGCCTCGTTTCCAGTAAAAAAGGGTGTCCAGTTCTCTACACTCACAGTACGAAACATAGCAGCATCAAGCTGCTATGTTATGTTGGTATTCTGTCTGTGTCAAGCCGACCCATTCATGCTACAACCATAATATAGCTGCAGCGAGGTCCTCGTAAAATTCTGATGATAAAATTTTCAAAGTAGCCATAATTTTATCTTAAATAAATTCTGTGGCAGCTTACAGTTATAAGAATAGATAATTTACAGAATTTTTTTCATTCCTCTTTGATCTTTAAAGATACCCTTATAATATAAATAACCACGGAAAGGTATGGAGTGCCCCACAATTTTGAAGTAACTTCATAAAAAATCGGCTCTAATTAAGCCATGACCATGACCAGGAATAATATTTTACATTGACTTCTACAGGACCGTCTGACAGACATGTGCATTATGATTGAGATGGCGCGTCTACTGACGTACCGAGCCGCAACCGACGTGTGCACCAAGCACAGCTCAATGGCGAAGTACGTAGCGGGGAAGAACGCAGCCGCTGTGGCCGACCATTGTGTCCAGATATTAGGCGGACGTGGTCTTTCCACAAATTATGATGCTGAGAGGCACTACAGGTAAGTTTCACAATCAACGTCTGTTGATTTGATCGCATCGATATTAAGGCACACACCAAATGTGTCCGTTTTATATTACAGAATGAAAGACGTCACATCCACAGTGTTCCTTGCAGTGCGTACACGCACACGTAACGTACACGCAGTTAATTCTTTACGTGCTCCGCCTATTAGATTTACTCGCATAAAATCTTCTAGAACGATCTTTCGTTGTATCACTATCATTTATGAATGTCTTAAGTCGACTACTATTTGTGATCAGAGCAAATTGCAAATTTTAGTTCATTATTCGCCACGTGTTTTAAAGAGCCTTTAGTCACAAATCTTCAGCTATAAACCTCTTAGATAAGGAACAAATGGGCTGGCATATCTCTAGATATAAAATCCTACAAAGTAGAAATATCAGTTGTTTATATTTATAGGCTATAATATAAGATGTCATTATAATTCATCAAAGGTGACAACACACCTGCAACGTTCGTTTGGAATTGCTTCCAGTACACACCTGGAAGCAATTGTTTACATGCGCTGCAGCTACCTATCACCATGCGAATTTTAAGATCTTAAATCTGTAAAAAAAATTGCGTGTAATTGTGTCACACGTACGAAGTGAAACTTCTTCCTCTCTTCTTCGACATACCATTCTTTTGTTTAATATTTTACATAATTAGGTTAAATAATAGTATACTCATGCAGCCCCAGCTGTGAAACTTTACAATAAAACGTGACATTGTTTTTTTAATACTGTACTATACAGGGTTATTTTGCAATAACCGGCCAAATTTGCAGAGAAGGTTCAGAATAAGTAATATGGGCAAGTGGTGAAGAAACATTACACAACAAAATTAATTTAAATTAATAATTAATTATAATTAATTACAAAACAGAAGAAATCTCAAAAATTCTGTCCTTTTATCTCTTAAATTCAGAATGCGTGGTAATGCATTATTTTAACTGATTTTACTGCGCACGCACACACTTGTAAGATTCGATCGGTAGGCAAAAACGTTGTTGTTCTTAAATCACATTAAATTTGGGATAATTTTAAATAAAAGTAGAAGCCTTATTTACTCGTATTTTTAAAAACTGCAATAACTGTACTTCATTATTTATATATTTGAACTAAAGGTTAAAATTTGACTACAATTCTTTGAAATTATTTCTACTATTACTTAATATTAAATTTCTTTATCAACAAAGTAACAAAATATCTATCAAAAAAATAAATGGTGTATCATCTACTTTAAATTGAATCTACATTTAATTAAATGATGTGTCACATTGTTTGTCCGCGATGGATTCTTAAACTACTTAACCGATTTTAACCAAATTTGCATACCATGAGCAGTTTTGTCCAACTTGAGAGATAGGATTGTTTTTTTCCCATGAGGGATCCACAATTTTTTTAATGAATTTAAGGAGTTTTAATAGGACATGACAAAGGTCGTAGAAAAGGGCAGAACAACGTCTGCTTGGCAAGCTAGTTATTTATATATTTAAACTTCAGTTTAAATATATAAATAACTAATTTGCCTACTCTTTGAAAAGTAACCCTGTAATTCTCCACTACGTCGATAAAGAAGTTTCACTCCAAAAAAAAATTTTTTTGCTAACTACTAACATGTACGAAAATTATATTACAAAAGAAAAAAAATATTCTAACACTTAATCTTAATTTAACAGAGATGCAAGAGGCACTCAAATATACGGTGGAGTGACGGATATACAGAAGCGGCTCGTCGGACACTTTTTACTGAAGGAGCATGAGGCTCTCTGACGGGTGACAAGACAACTAATCTAGTCTAAGAACGAAATGATGTTGCGAGGAACTGTACAAAGGCCAAATTATATTGACAATAAGTAATAACATATCTATTGTAGGATCAATTTCTGTTCCGTAAATAATTGTAAAATTGATTTATTCGTTGTGTTTCATCGCAATGTTTTTAAATCGATGGATGAGCATACGCCTTACTAATCATACACCAGCTAGCAAAATGCTACTTGGATGATTCGCCCACATTCAACACGCTGGTCTAGCAGGTTGGTGACGGTGGAGCTGAATTTAAAAGAATATTTGCACTGATGATATTTTTCCCATTATCAGTCTACAATTTTTTTCTGATTATGCCTAATTAAATTATTGATAAATTCAAAAAGCCATAAGGTATGACATTTTATTAACTAAAACATGTGTGAGATATACAATGCATGGGCAGAGATATATTCTTGGTGTTAGTGTTATAAGTATCAACATGTCTTACCGATATTCGGTGTGTAAAATTTAAAGCTAGCATTTATTATTTAACATTGACAAAGTCTATCAATATACAAAGTCAGTGAAATTATTACTTACAACAATAATAATTAAAAATATATGTGTTTACAATGCAATTATATAATGTCAAAATGTATCATTGACGGACTTTCCGTTGCAGTGTGTGGCATTTTTCAATTAAAAGGTTTGCTGTTCAGTAATTTATACATCTGAGGAATTTTGTTATAGATTTTAGGAGCCATGCATACTACATACACTCTTAGCAGAGCCATTTTTGCTCGTTGCAAGCACAATTTACTTCAGACACGACGTTTGCGATTTACTTTGTTAGTTAACCGTGGAAACCCTGACTAAGAGAGCCATCTCCATTATGTATAGGGACGGAAGTGTAAGAATTTTGTGTTTAAAAAATACGGCATACAACTATCGGTAGTCTGAAGATCAAACATAGCACGGATACATCTTTTCTGACTTTTAAATGCTACTTCTATGTCAGTTGAGTTAGCCTATAAAATAAATAATTACTTAATGTTTGAACTTGTAAATACACGTTGAGATATTATGTATATATAAAGTGGCGCCGGGTTCCACAATAAATGATAACTGATTATATACAGTGTTTTACAACGTGCACAAAATCACCAAAATAAATTCAGCAGTTTAGACAACGAAATTGTATTTTGCTGTAGTAATTTTTACACATGATGTAGATAAATATCACTAGGATAAATGACAATAAATTGTACTTAAAAAATAAAGAAAGGGACGTTGTTAAAGGTAAGTAGAATTTACGATATTAAGTATTTACATGATGTTCGATTATAATAATATAGCATTTATTTGTTTGAAAATTTACCCTTTTTTATTTTGTCAAGAATAAAATAACTATTTTGTAATAAGACTTTCTAGCGCTAGTAATGACTGAGGTTTCATTTATTGTGTGATTAGGCCACGACATCCTACATGTACAATATTTTTACATCAAATTTTTACTGGGAACTATAAATATGTTATAAAGAATTATTTCTTCAAACTAATTACACCCCATATTTACCTTTATTTCAAAATAATTTAGCTATTAATTTTTAATATTCTCTTGTTTATTTTCTATATTTTTTTTTAAATTATGTGATGAATGTCACCTAAAAATTTTGTAGCAAACATTTTTAACATTTCAAGTTTCTTTTCATACAAATACAGTAATCATTAATCAATTGCTATTTTACTACAAGCGTTTAGAAACTAAAATTTTTGGTCATTGATTAGAAAACATGAGTAAAATACGTAGATAATTTATATTATATACCTATCTAACCTTACATATGATATTTTCTTTCTATTTAAGGATCCTCTTTAACTTTTTGTTAAGTTTAAAAAATCTATTTTATACTGTTAAATATTTTACAATGGTATTTATTACATTGATTCACTTGTATTTTTAAAATAATTTCAACTATTTTTTACTTACATAACAATATTTTTTATCATAGCGGTCAAATATCAAGGAACTAGTAACTTTCAACTTATTAAAATTTTTGTTGTAGTATATGTATTGTAATAAAACTTTCAAAACTGTGGATCTTCACCCCTTTTATTGTCGAATTCATTTGACGATTTACTGTCGTTCGTAATGCATGCATACAGCAAGGTAGTGCAATATTTGCTGGCGTCTCTTTCCTCTTAACTAAAATCTGGGAGGCTCCCAAGGAAAGAGTAAATAGGCTTTTGTGGCGCTCATATAGCGCGATTTACCATCTAGTGCTTCATAATCACTTACCATCAATTGGTGGGAGCACTGGCATAAAATAAGTAAAAAAATAACTGAAGAATGTAATTATAATTTTTGTAACATTTGTAATAGCAGTCTGAAATGAACATAGCAACTGTGAAAAATGAAGTTTTGCAATTTATACACCTGTCTTGATATATAATACAGTTAATGGGATATATAATTTTTCCGCGTAGTTCGTTTATGTATAAACAAAAGCTTTACCACCCGTTATATTAATAAAATTGGTATTTAATAAATATGTATTTCTAACTACTGTAATATTGTTTGTTTTTGTTGGTGTTATATTAGAAAAAAATATTTAATTGTTAAATTCTATGTAAATAAGAGTTTTTTCAATTATTGGGCAGTAACATACCTCGTTTGTTCGTGTGTTTGTATCGTGTATGTGTCGGTAAAAGAAATTTCAAAGGCTGAATAGCATTTATATCACTGAAAAAAACCGACATGTACTTAAAATAAGTGATCATTCCATACTTAGAATGTATATAATGTTACTTTTAGATATTCTTGTCTCTTACACGGTTTTGACCAATGATATTTAAAATGTATCTCCGTAGACTTGCATACGTGCTTATTTTTCACATTTTTCTTTAATCATATTCTAGCGACGAAGTGATTTACGTCCGTTATTAATAAAATTTATTGATGAAAATGATCATGGAGTTTCTTATTTTATGTAGTTAAGCAATTATTAAAATCTTATTTGTCAATGAAATGAAATACTTAGTTACTTCTTTTTTAGTTTTCACAATAGTTTCTAGATTACAAGATAAACATAATCTGTGACAGTTTTGCGCTGTCACAGATTATGTTGAGATATTTTAGATTAAAAGATAGCAGTGGCACCATACTTTATTACCCCTTTTAATGGATTCGAAAGACATGTCTTGCTTTTTTAGATTTTGTTTAAAGGGCGGTCATGGAAGACCGCCCTTTAAACAAAATCATTGATTCGTCAATACTTTGAGACGAGGAGTTTTTGGCATTCTTTCGACAAACATGATTTATAAGATTCAACAACGGCGAACTTTGTAAAGTTTGTCATAGTTCTCACTTGATTTTTGTGGTTATTATCGTTTAGATGTAGATTTTGCAATATTTTCTTGAAACATTTTGTAATCATCTCTGCAATCATGTCTGCAGTTCGTCTACTCGGAATCCTGGGTCAGTAGACCAATCAAGGTTAATGGAAGGCAGGGTATTGTACTTCATTGTTATAAAAATAGCTAAGAAAGTCTTCAGTTCCTTTTTATCTAATGGTGCACAACTTTCATGATTTTTCTTTGTAGTTTTGCGGTACTTATTTGTATAGTCTCTTCATCAGATTCTAAATTGTCATCTTGCACTTCGGAACCGTCAGGTAAATCATGAAGATCATTTAATTCGTTGATAATATCCAAATCTTTTAGTAACACACAAATCTGCAACAAACAAAACAATAACATTTTGCAGGTGGCAAGACAAAGCGAATATATTTCCCACCACAACCAACCCATACAATGAAATTCTGTTAATTACTAAGATGAAAATATGTCTAAATTTTAATTGAATGAACATTAATCTTTAGAAATAATAGCATCTTACCTTTTTGAATTGCAGAAAATAAAGATTTATAAAGATTTATCTTGTACCTACGAAAATCCTCACCTCCTTTTCACTTTGAGAACGTCAAAAAAAAGTAACAAAAAAGTACAAAAAATATGGCGGCCTGTCATCAACACAGATATATATATATATATATATATATATATATATATATATATATATATATATTTAAATTATATGTCAATTAAAATATTGTCATACGAGTCGAGAGAGACATTATGAAAAAATCTTATCTTTAACATCTCAAATGGAAAAATGTTAGCGGTAAAAATACTCGCTCTGCCTTATAAAGGGTTAATTTGTTTTTCCATAACTTATCTATGGTTTTAACATTGAGCTATTATGTACTACGTACTAGAGGAGACACTGCATTCAGCTACTCTGTTCCACTCAACTGCGGTGCATGCACTGCACTTTAATCAGCCACTCGCTAGGCGCTTGTAGAGTTGTCACGTGTTGTGTTGATTTTAAAAAAATCTCTTGATAAAAATATGCCGTCTTGTGTACTTAGATATTGCACAAATAATTCAAAAAATGTCAGTAAAAACCAAGGAATTACTTTTCATCTGTTAATAAGATACTTAATCAATAAAAAAGTATTATAGATTAATAATAAAACAAATTATTCCTAAGACGCCATCTCGTATCATTGAATATAGATTATGAAATTAATATGTTCAGATGCGAAATTTCTATGGGTACTTTTATACTTCTATGGGTACTAAGTTTAGGACGAATACATTATTATACTACACATTTTTTTTTTGTAGAAATATATAAGTTATTATAATTAAGCTAAATTTTTCCTGTTTGAAGTGGAAACCTAAAAATAAAATAAAAGAATAATAAGCAGATTTAAAGTCAAAGTGGAATAAATTCGTCCATTTTTAACTCTCGCGTGCTCAACATTTATGAACGATTATTTACAACATTTATGATTCTATATATTTGTAATTTAAATTTTATGTTAATAAGTTTTGTTAAACATACATTTAGTATGTTTTTTTATATTTGACATAAATACCTTTTAAAATATTCAGATAAAAATATAATTAAAATGTAATTCTGACATAATATTATGTAATATTATATTAAATTAGCA